TCTGACCTCTTTAGGCATGCGCACACACACACACACACACACACACACACACACACACACACACACACACACATACATACATTACACACACACACACACACACATCATATACACACACATAATTAAAATTAAATCTAGAAAGATTTATTTAGAGAGGGAAAAATCCACCCTGAATGTAGGCAGTCCTGTTCCATGGGCTACTCCTGGACTTAATAAGGAGAAAATGAGCTGAGCATCAATATTTTTCTGTACTTCCTTGCTGTGGATGTAGTGTGACCAGCTACCTCATGCTTTTGCTGCTATGACTTCCCCTCCATAATGGGCAGTATATTCTCAATTTGGAGGCCAAAACATATCTTTTATTTACTTTTGTAAGGTATTTTGTCACAACAACTAATAGAAAATTGGTACTGAGGAATGGTGTTATTGCTGACTGGTTTGTAAGCATTAGTGTAGTACAAATTACTAAATGGTCTTATTAATAAAAATCCTGGAGCCAGATATTGGAGTGAAAGCTGAAAGATCAAAGGGATAGAACAAGCCAGCCACAAGTTCTTACTGCTAGGAAATCCTCAGCCCAAGAGAGAGCTACTTCCTGTATACTCCTATATACCTTTCTGTGCCCTGCCATCTTACTTCCTCTTTCCACCCAGCTATATCACTTCCTCTTTCTGCCCAGCTATATCACTTCCTGTTTGTACAGACCTCCAGACCTCTATGGTTAACTAGTGCTGGGATTAAAGGCGTGTGCCACTACACCTAGCTCTGTCCCCAGTGTGCCTTGGAACTCACAGAGATCCCGATGAAGCTCTTTCTCCTGAATGCTAACATTAAAGGCATGTGGTACCACTGCCTGACCTCTATGTTTAATATAGTGGCCGGCTTTTTCCTCTGATCCCCAGGCAAGCTTTATTTGTTAAAGTACAAATAAAATATCACCACAGTATAGCACTGGTTTACAGGAACAATGTGAAAGATTTTGAAGCTATAGGCTATAGACACGCTTTAGACAAGAGACTAATGGGCCATTTTGGTGGGAATTTGGAAGATCAGAATTCTGAGAGAAGTGAGGATAGTGGGAACTTGGCTTATCAGGTTTCAAAGGACTTTCTTAGGAACTGGGCTAGTGGCATTTTGTGTTTTATTCTGGTAAAGAACCTGACTTTATTCTGTCCATGTCTTAACTATTTGAGTGGGGCTAAATTAAAAAGCATTGATTGCCTGGTTGTTTGGCACAGGAATTTCAAGACAGGATAGCATTTAGGCTGTGTTATGGTTACTTCTCACTGCTTTTACCCAGGTTGACAGAGAAAACTGCAAGTTGGGCAGAAAGGTAAGATGAATGTACAGCTTGGCAAGGAAGGGATGAGAATTTATAGTTGAGGACAGGGGAGATATGGAAAGAGTGACTATAATGGTTACAGAGATTAACAACATTAAAGAAAAATCTTGCAGCTACACTAGGATAGGAGAAGTACACAGAGGGCAAGACCTTACCCATTGAAGGCTCTAGTTTGTAACAAGGCAGGTGAATTTAAAAGGAGAGAGCCAAGACACAGAATGCCACTGAAGGCATTCTCTGCTCCACAGTTGCCACATAGAGTAGTATTTTCTCAGGATTAGCTGTAAAGGTATACAGAAGTGGTTGTAGCTTTGGGCTACATTTTGAGCTACCTACAGAACTTGGAAGTATTGTCCATATGGTACTAATTTTGTAGGCATGCAAAATGCATGAAGCAAGGTTTATGGAGGCTTGGGTCAAGATTTCAAAAAGCTGCTGTGGATAGAAAGTTTGTGGCAGGGTCAGACTTCCTGTAGGGAGGTGTGGGAGGACATTGTACAAACTGGGAAGGTATTGCCTTGTGTATAGTGGAAGCTCCAAGATGTTGGAGGTGCTACAATCTTAGGATGTTTATGAGGAAAGATATAGGGGCTCACAGTTAAGAAATTGCCCTGAGTTTCAGAATAACCTTGAACTATTGAACAGTATTGTGTAGCTAAAGTTTTCCTGCCTTGCCCACAGTTAGGACAAATCTCTGTCACCCGCCAGTCCCACAGCCACTCAGACTCAACCAAGTAAACACAGAGACTTATTATATTGCTTACAAACTGTATGGCCCTGGCAGGGTTCTTGCTAACTGTTCTTATAGCTTAAATTAATCCATTTCCATAAATCTATACCTTGCCACATGGCTTGTGCCTTACCAGTGTCTTCACATGTGGCTTGTCATAGTGGTGGCTGGCCGTTTCTCTGACTCAGCCTTCCACTTCCCAGAATTCTTCTCCTCCTTGTCCCACCTATACTTCCTCCTGCCTGGCCACTGGCCAATCAGTGTTTTATTTATTGACTCATCAGAGCAACAGATTTGACATACAGACTGTCCCATAACAGTATTGGGTCTATTTAAAAAGTCTTTGAGGAATTTTAGAAATGAACTAAATGCATTTTTTATTTTGAGATGAACTTATGACTTAAAGTGATGTGCTTGTGTTTTAAGTTGACAAGAGATTGAATTGTTAATCTTCTTTGTCAGTTTGATTGGGGTTAGAATCACCATAGAAACACTCTCCTGGTTGTGTCTATGAGGGTGTTTCTGGAAAAGTTTAACTGAAGAGGAAAGGCTGCTCCAAGTGTCCAGCTACAGTCCTCTGATTCTTCTTCATAAATAATCACTATTTAATTTTTGATTTTATGGAGTGAGAGAGACTGGAAACAGTCCATCTCTCTTTTTTTTTTTAATGTTTTATTTTCTTTTGTAAGGGGGTTTCTCTGTGTAGCCTTGGGTATCCTGGAACTCCCTCTGTAGACCAGGCTGGCCTCAAACTCACAGAGATCCGCCTGCCTCTTCCTTCTGAGTGCTGGAATTAAAGGCAAGCACCACCACCTCCCAGTGCCAGTTTCCTGTTTTTTAATTCTTCTGGATTTCTGTCTTCATAGATGATTGTTAGGACCATATTGAGATGGATAACTCAGTATTTAAAAAATCAGGTAAAGTCTATCAACACCTTGTTCTTTTAGGGGTATCTGTGGTGGAGCGCTCAAAAAAATGTAACACTGGAGAGAGGACAAGAACAATGCTGATCATCTGTCCACTTTCTGTGATGAGCAATTGGATTGTAAGTCTAAAGCCTTTCTGCTTAAAGTGGGATATCATATTTGTCTATAAGTGAAATGTGACCCTAATTAGTCTTATTAATAAAAATCAGGAGTCAGATATTGGGGTGAAAGCTGAAAGGTCAGAGTAGCAGAGCAGCAGCCACTTCTTACCTCTATGAATCCTCAGACTGAAAGGGGACTGAGATCTTGTCTCCACCAGCCTTATATTCCTGTCTCCACCTCCCAAGTGTTGTGATTAAAGGCATGAGCCTCCCACTGCCTGGCCTCTATGGTTAACTAGTGGCTAACTCTGCCCTCTGATCTCCAGGCAAGCTTTATTTGTCAGAACACAAATAAAATATCACACAACAAGTGTTGCTAAACAGTATTGTTAGAAATATATGTGACCTTCATTTTATATCTGTTAAGTGAATTATATTTGCTGAACTAAAGTACTTTTTCTCTGAGGGTTTGTATGCTTGACTTAATAATTGCTAATGTAGGCTTTGATTTGTACTTCTGTTTCTGCCATTTTGTTCCCTCTTAAGAAGGACATATTGATAATTTAATACACTTACTATATTTAGAGATTGAATTTGAAAATTGTAAGAATTTCACTAATAGTAACTTACAGTATATAACAGTGCATAACGTTACATGTGCTCCTGTCTGCTTGGTTTGTCCTTCATTTCTTTTTATAGATTTTTCTCACTTAATCCTCACCATTTTCAGTTTCTAGGTGAACAAATTAAATAATTTCACTAAGGCCATCCATCAAGTACACAAGAGAGCTTGAATGTGGTCACCAACATTTTGACCTAAGAGTCTCTTGTTTAAACAGAAAATCATGGTTCCCCCCTGCAGATTGCTTTTCTTTTTTAAGAACGTGTCATTGGGATGGGATGTCTCTATGTTATATATGTCCTGCTTTTATGTCCTTTCTAATTTGAACCTCAAACTTCATTTTATAATTAAATATGATTATTTTGTATTGAAATTTTCCCAGGGGCCTGCCCTGAGAAAATCCTTCCCAGAGTCCTGGGGAAGATGCTACATCCAGCCTGGGGTTATCTGAGGGAAAAGAATCTACGTACACCATGCTCTTTTCATCCATTTACTTTATTTCTGGAAGACAAAATTCTATCTATACAGCTTTAGTTCCATCCTCACACTCAGTTCTTCTCTGTCCATTCTTTTTTTGTCCTCTCATAGCTCTAGTAATAGATAAGCTCTTATGCTCTTTACCTCATCCTCACCTTCAGTTCCTCCATCTTCCAATTTTTTCTTCCTCTTCTCCCCTGACTTGATTCAAATCCACCTACAACCTGCAGAACTTTTCCTTACTCCTTACTCCTTGGTCTGAGCCAGTCTTTCTTACCATCTACAGAAACGCTGCCTTTTTCTCTTCTCTCTGGCTATGTGACTCTGCCCAGATCAGTCTTTACTGCACCTGGTAATGCAAAAAACTCTTGTCTTGAATCAATAGCTCTGGAATACAACTAGGCCTAAAGGAAAAGGATGATCTGAGCTTCATTTGCACAAGAAACAAAGCTATGCATCTACAGTCCACCTGTCTCCTAGGCTCTGTAGGGGGGTTACTTAGTAGATCAGCAGTAGGTCTGAGAAGCTCATGCTGTTTGCCATATGGCCTAGTAGTATATGAGTGCACAAAAAATTCATAGCAGAAGACAGCTGATATATAAAAAGCTGAATAACACCAATAAATGGCTTCCCTCCAGAAAAGGTTCCTTGACCTTTCTAGGTATAGCTTTACTATATACAGCTGAATCTCTATAATACATTCTTGTGGCTTGCAGCAATTTTGGAAGCATTTGAACATAAAGACCACTGGATGTGAGCTTTCCTTTTTGCTTTCTTTGAGGCTATCTATCTCTTATCTGTCCTTTCTCAGGAAGAAGAAGTCCTGTTCTTTATAGAACTATTGCTTTAATTTTTCTCATTCCATTTCCACACTTTGTTTTTCTGTTCCTTTTCCTCGTCTCTTGGTTATTTAGTCTAATTCCACTGGGTTTTTCATGAAAAATATTCAGGTCTTTATTTTAAATACTTCCTTTTGATTATGTTCTCCCTGAATTAATTGTTCTTCTGCATTCCTTTCCTGTTGTAGCTCTTGGAGATTAATGTCTTCTTTATGCTCTTACTCATTGCATTGACTTCTGTTTCCAGCTGTCAGGATTGCATTGGGAGATTCTGAGTGACTCATCATACCCACTCTCTTCTTTTTGACATTGTATTTCTCTTTTCTTGGTTTTATATTTCTTCTTGACTATTTCTTAGGCATTGACTTAATGGATTTCTTCTTCACATTATGTGGTTTATTCATCTACGTCATGGCATCTTTTTGTTTGCGTTTATTCATTTTGCAATATTCCTTCTCTTGACTCAGGTATCATTTTTCCTTCTTGAGGCATATGGGTTGTGGTTGTTTTCCCCCTCTCTATTATTATTCCAGTAAAACTATGGTCTTTCCTTAAATGTGTGGTTTGCCTTGGCAAGGGTATAAGTGCATACTTGAATGGCAGGTTTAAGGTGAAACTTAGAAATACTGATAAGAGATATAAATGATATAATTGTGAGTTTCTAGTCTTGGTATGTGCAAATTTATTTTTAAAATAGTTAATCAAGGAGCATAGATCTGTGGTAAACTGCTTACCCAGCATGGCTAACACCACATACAAAACAAGATAAAAATAGGTGGCTAGATAAATAAAAAATTGGGAATTGTATTTCATATTTAAAAACCTTAAGTAATATAAACATAGAAAGGAAACCTTGGCAAATAAAACTTTGCAAAAATTTAAGGGAATAATGGACATTTAAACATATAGAGCAGTGGTTCTCAACCTTCCTAATGTTATGACTCTTTAATACAGTTCCTCATGTTGTGGTGACCCTCAATTATAAAATTAGTTTTGTTGCTACTTCATAACTGTAATTTTGCTATTGTTATAAATTATAATGTAATTATCTGTGTTTTCCAGTGGTCTTGGGTGACCCCTTTGAAAGGGTCATTCAAATCCCCAAAGGGGTAACTGTTATTTATTATGTGTCGCTGTTTACCATGCTAGAAAAGCCATGAGGCACAACAAAATCCACTATAGTGGTTTATTAGAAGAAGGGCGACGGAAGGGATGTGCTTAGGCCTATTGTAAGATTGTGCAGAAAGAGGGGAATGGTATGTGGGATTTACTTTATGGATTCCCCCGTGCATTTTTATATGGGCTTGTGTAGCTACGCCACACTTGTGCATAGATTACATGATCACGCTGCATGCAAATTACGTGACCATCCAGGGCACAGGTTATGTAGGATGTAAGGCCCCGGAATGACTAAGCGTCTTGCCAGTACATGCACGGTCATGGGGGAGTGACTAGGAATTCTATAACCCCAGACTCTGTTGTTCTTGTAAAAATTGGTGGGTGAACAGGAATGAGGAGGTCCTATCTCCCCAAACTGCTTCCAGCTAACTCGGTGGGTGTCGGTTAACTCTTGGGGATAGAGAAGGAGGCTTTTGAGGTAGCTGGACGTCCTGAGGTAGATTGTACTCTACTGCTTTGGGAATCGTCCATCATCTTCCGCTGCTTAAAGCCTGTGGTTGTTTCTGTCTGACAAGGTGCTGGTGAGGCAGAAGAGGAACTTTAGAAAAAAGTTGCCTTGAGGGGGTTCCCCAAAGGGTCCCAGGGTGAAGGAAGGGGGTCCCAGGACCAGGAAAGTTTGAGTTATACTTATCTGGAGTGGACCTGACCTGTACAGGTGGATTCAAGGTAGCTCTGTAGCTTGGAAGCATTTTTAAACATATTAAGAAGCAGCCACAGGGAATTTAAAATCTTGAGCTGGTAGCCATGATATTATAATGTTTAGTACTCTGTTGTCAAAATTTTATGGGTTAGTGTTAGAGATGGGGTGGGGGGACTTGGAATATGCTTTTAATTTTTACCTGAGATAAGCCTTATCTGAGACAAATTTTAAGGCACTTGTTTCCTTTATTAGTTTAGCATCCAGGAGACAGAGGTGATCAATTGCTAAGGGCATTTAACAGGAATAGATTGTTATATTAAAGTCTGTTTTTTTTTTTTTTTTTGCAGAGTCCAGACCCTTTTGGGTCTGAGGATGTAAATACTCCTGGATTGTTATTGTTCCTTACTGCCTGGGTACACTTAATGGTCCTTGGCCTCCAGCTCTATGGTGGTCTTGTAACAATTAGCTGAATAGTTAATTAGGAGAGGGAACCAGGAAGGAAAAGCTTGTAGGGTGAAACCTCATTCTTCTGGAATTGGTGACAAGGCAGTGGATCCTGGTGTCCTCTGGAACTTGAGAGAACAAGGCCCTGTCTGTGTCACTGTGTATGAGAAGGAATTCTTCTGGGTTGAAAGTGAGATAAAAGGCTTCAGATAGGACAGGTAAATCCAGTGTGGGAAGCCCTTGAGCTTAGCAGCTATGAGGGTTACAAGAATTACCTTGAAGGGTCCCTGCAATTTAGGGGAAAGGGGTGAAGGGGTGCTGGCCTAGAGCGGAAAGAAGGACCTGATCTCCAATGTGAATTTGGGGTGGGCAAGGACTGTCACATGGCTGGGGTAAGGAATGGTCAGCGAAATTCTATAGAAGAGAACAAAGATGACAGAGTAAGGGGGTTAAGAGGTCATCTGGGAGGGGTGAAGACTTGGATAGGATGCCCGGTGTTAGAGCCAGTCTCCCATACCTCAGTTCAAATGGGGAGATTGAGAGGGGGCTGTTGTGAAGGGCCCAGAGCCTAAAAAGAACTAGAAGCAATAATATTACCTAGTCTAGGTGAAGTTCCCGTGACATCTTAGTAAGGATGGATTTTAAAGACCAGTTGGTGCACTCCACCTTCCCTGAGGACTGAAGATGGTACAGAATATGAAAATGCCAAGGAATATTAAGAACCTTAGCTAGGGTCTGGGAAATCTGGGAGGTGAACTCCAGACAATTATCAGACTGGAGAGAGGCAGGAATCCCAAACCAGGAAATAATTTCCTGG